ATGGAGCGGACTTGAAAGTGTTACGGACGGACAGACTGACAGACGGGGTCCATTCCTATAATCCCCTTTCCGCTACGCGGAAGGCGATTAACAATGTTGGTTTAGTCCCATCTGAAAAAGCCATACATATAAAAGCTCAAGATCTTTTTATTTATTTCTGGGAATATTTGAAAACATTACGCATTGTCAGTTCTATTTTTAACTTCTGTGACTAAGATATACAATAATCCGATTTGTGCAAAAAACAACAACAAAACAAAATTTCTGTCAAATTTTATCAAATATAATAGCCTATTTTTACGTCACATCAACACTTTAAAAGGCTTTGTGGCGATTTTCCTGCTTTACTGAGGAAGACTTTAATATGTTTCCCTCCGTGCATTATTTCATAATATTGACACCTTCTGGTCATCTTTTAAGGCAAATCAGAATTACAAAGTCTATAAGAAAGTGAAATTTGGCTTATTCAAATAAAGAAAACATTAAAATTGTTTGTAAAATAAAGAAATCAAAGTCATATGTTCATCCTGATTCCAAATTCAAAAACCTCCTGAACTTGATCTTAATTTGGAACACACTAGTGTTCATGTGCATTACATGCTACCGGACAATTTGAGAAATGCTGTTTTTCCTCATCTCCAATTACATTCAAACTATGGTTTTAAGACTGCACTTTTATAACGACTTATTTAAAACAGAAAGGTTATATGAATTTTGGATACGTTCAGCCGCGGTTTATTCCACATGATTTATTGATATTTATTGATGATGAGAAAATAACAAAACTGTAACAGTTGATATGATTACCAATCATATGAATGTCTTTGAGATTTTATTTGAATGCTTACCTGTATATCATTATAGCTTATTACTACGTGACGACAATTTACATACTTTTTTTGTGTGAGTGGAACAAAATCGCTCCCAAAGTTTTACAAACACGTATTTTTCTTATATAACTGGTAAAAAACGGTTTAAAACAAAATCAAAATCTATCATTACACCAAATTTATTAAGTGCCTTTCTGATATATATAACATGTTTAAATGCGTTAAAATCAACAAATTTATATCACAGTTATAAATATTAAAAAAGAATACTCGACATTAAATTAAATTTCAACAATTATACAAATCTAGATATGACTATGTAAAACTATTTGCATATAAACATACTCTTAAAGTGACATTATGCCCATCCAAGGGTATCAAAATAAGTTTTCATTTTGCCATAATTCCTTTTAATTTAATAATTTACTTCCCATAAACAATAAATAATGCACAGATCCAAATAAAATTTCTGTAAATATCTATTAGAATTTACCTCTAACGCTCAGTTTATAAAAAGAGTGGGTCAGTCTTTTTATATTATAGGCTGATTTATAATTTTATCCTGAACGTTTTCAAATATCAACTGTTGTTCAAACACCATTTTAACAGTCAATATTTTGAAATATAAAGTCAATTCAGCTCAACTTGACTATGAAAATATGAGCATAATGTCACTTTAAATTCTTTTCAACGTGATTTATAATAATATTATGAAACAGACCGCCATCTTCTTAAATAGTCACATATTTCTAAAGAACGAATTGAGACTGCAGTAACAAAACTCATATTGTTTACATATCGGAATTACTTATATTGTATAATTAATTTGAGACTTTTAAGTTTAAGTTTTGTGTACATGTTTTGTGTACATTCTTCTGTAGCTCGTTCTTAATGTATACTGGAGTTTGTCCCTACTGTATCCGATTTTCAATAGGTAAAACAATGGAAATTCTATACAACGTTTTAGGGATTCTGTTTTTCTCTATTTTAATGTGTTTAAATGGAGGGGTCGTTTTTGGTAATAAGACAAGATGCCATTTGATGAACAGTCCGGAGTTTGTTGATGATCATTTAAGACATACTGACCGTATAACAAAGCATTAGGTGGTCTGACCTGTAGGTCACAAAATAATTTATAAAGAATTTTGAGGCTGGAATATGGCCTGAAATGATAAAACTGACCTGTAGGTCACAAAAAATTTATAAAGAATTTTGAGGCTGTAATATGGCCTGAAATGATAAAACTGAAAGCCTCATATGTTTCCGGGTTTCTATCATTTTACCACTTTGTTGCCATGGCAACTGAACCAATTAATGTTGTTGGTAGAATGAAAATCTACCTTTTAAAAAATTATAGACTTAAGAACATTTTAAAATGTAATCTTGTTGGTTATTCTTAGTCTTAATAATCGTTATATATCAGTTCACTAGAAATTGGGACTCAATTTTCGTGTACCCCACCCACTTTAGGAATTTCAGAATTCACATTCTTACACAATAAAAATAAGAATAAGGGTACAATTAGTAAGTTGTTGATCAGGTCTTCCCCTGTATAATATGGTAAAAATATTAGTTTTCATCACTATGCCTCGACTGATAGGACAAAATGCCAGCCCCATGTCGATTTTTGATACTTTTTCATGCTTTTTTAGCAAAATTTCTCTATGAAAACAAAAGTATATGTATAAGAAAAAGGAAAATGACCCTTTTTCATATTGTTCCAATAGGATGTGAAGTTTTAACATCACCTGTACCAAAATAAATACAAAAAAGAACTAATTTTATCATATAAATTGCTTATTAGCCATTTTTCAATAACTTGGCGGCCATCTTGGATTTCTCAAAACGTACCATGATTTGACATGTCTACCCAAAATTTTTGTTAACTTCAAACATTTAGCTTTACATTAGTATAACATTTATCCATGGACGTTTTTTGCACACAAAAGGTCCCCAGGGACTGTACTATAGGGGACTTTTGTATTGCTTGCAATACCGGTACTTTGATAATTGCTTGTTATTTATATATTTTCTTAGATGTATGTTTTTTAGATTATTATTTTGATATGATTGTTTTATTTTATGCTCAAAAGAGATAAGCATTTAGTGATCACAGTTTTTCTTTTCTGTAAAAATTTATTGCCTTTTATTGCAATGTTTGGGATTTTTTCATTAGAACTTCAGAGAAGAAAGGTTGAATTCTGTCTTGTTGAAACCATGTACAATGTACCTGGTTTACAAATGGGCAATGGTTTTACAAACATGTTTTCTTCACATAGTTTTATATGGGAACTTTATTGATACCTGGTTTATAGAAAGTCAATGGTTTTACGAATGTGTTTTCTTCCCATGGTTTTTATGGGAACTTGGGAACTTCATTAATTGTGTGATACACATTATTATTTATTTTAAGCAGTGTGCCAATTTATTTCTATGTATTTTGCTATTCACTTGTCATCCTTTACCAATTGTTGCACCTGATCAGGTTATGTTCAAGTTTTATATGAATATGCAGATAATAAAAGTATGGAGAGGTACGTAAAGTCTTCCTCCACCAGTTAAAGATTGATATTCACCATATGACCTTACAGTCTCTGTGTTCCAGTAAAAAAAAATATTTCAATAAAAATAAGTTTATTTAAGGGACTGGTAAGTATGTACACTTTAAATGTAATGGTAATGCTTTTAAAGATATATATAATCAGCAAATTATTGAGGGGTATTTTTCTGGGAATTAAATATATACATCATGCATCATGAGAGAGAGTGAATCAGAACATGCTTATCTACATGTTTTGAGCTTAAACTAAATTAACCTGTTTATTTGTCCATGACTATTACCCATTTCTTATTTACTGCAGAAAAAAATAGGATCTCAATCATGTCATAAAATTTAAAAGTATTGTGTATAATTAAATGTGTGATAAAACAATATGGTAATGGTATACAGTCAAACCTGTGTTAAAAACACCTCCAAATATAGACCACCCTGTAAAATAAGGCCTTTTTTGACAACCTTCCCTTGATTAGATAGAACAAGGTAACCTTCAAATATAGACTAATTGTCCATTTAGGTCATGTTCAGCCTCTCCTTTGAATGGCCCTTGTCCACAGGTTTGACTTACATGTAGTTGTCATACTGTTCTTGTGTTAGAAAACCATTTGATATTTGTGTTGCTTTTTATATTTTGTAGAACATGACCAAGATCTTCTAAGTGTACAAACACAGTATTAACTTTGTGGTTCAATTAATACACAGGTGCTCCTTGTCAATGGTTAGTTTATACATTAAGATGAGTTTTGTCACTTGTTTTCGTTTTTGAATACTGCATGTTTTTGTTGTTTTTTTGTTCTTTTTTTTCCATTTCCTAATATATCTGAGTAAATAAACTTAAAAGATGTTATATTCCTATTATTCCTATCCAATCTATGTGTGTGTTGAATTGTGCAATACCATTTTTGTTATAATCATATATATTCTATACCCTTAGTTCATGAGGTGCCATTATTAAAATGAAGAGAAAAGTTATTTGTTTTGTTTATATTTTTTCATTGCCATTTGTCATGCATAAAATATGCATGTACATATTATGTATACCCAAGAAAACTACTCAGCTCACATACATGATTTTGGGGCACAGGAGCAGAAAGGTTTCCATGGCGATTTGGTGTACAGTAATAGTTCTTGATGTCAGTTTTTCCACTCTGGTTTCAAATGATTTCTATTAAAACATTTACTGTAACCTGTTGAACAATTGGTTGCTAGTAGTTCTGGCAGAGAATGCAGGAAAACATGTTCTTTTTATATACAATGTAGTGTGGTTTCACTTAATTTCGTGGGCATGAAATTTTGTAGTTTTGTCATACATTTTCCTGGGTTTTTAAATTTGTGAATTGTCTTATTTCTGCAAAAATTAGAATGCAAAAATGTTATGCAAAATAATCATACAGCAGAAGAAATTAAATTTTGTTGCATCTTCAATCTGTGGATTGACCTATTCACAGAAATCATGAAAATTAGTGGCCCAGCAAATGATTTTGCAGTGTAAGACTGAAACACATTTTGTTTTCTTTGAGCTGGCAGGAAAACAAAGAATTGTTGTTAGGGAAAGTCAGATTATTGCAATATACAACATAAAACATATAAAATAAAATAAAAAGCAACACAAATTAAAGTTTTCAATCCTTTAATGCCATCTACCTGTTTCTCCATTTTGCATAACAGAATAATTATTACATGGTTTTATAAATATGACAAAGATTTTACAACAGTTAATGAAATATTTCAAAGTTTGGTATGTAATTTCCATTATATTCTTTAACACGGCAAAACTGGGAACAAAAGCATTAGAAAAGGTGGGGTTTTAAAAAAGTAAAGAAGTTACTTATAGCAGCAAGGGGGTTTGATTTTTATAGCAGTAAAGGATTTACTTACAGCAGCAGACGGGTGTGCTTTAGAACAGAAAAAAGGTAATTTCTAGAAGTAATGGATGTGGTTTGTAGCAACAAATGAGTAATCTATAAAAAGTGTGGTTTAAATGGCCATCAAGATGGTTTTTTTACAAAAGAATGTTGACATAGGCAGGGACCAGTCTGTGGTACAAAAATTTGGTTCTGGTAAAACCATAACCAAGATGAAAACAAACTTGGCTTTAACATGCAGACAAATACAAAAATATCAATTACAGTTCAATTACAGTTCAATAAAAGATATAAATCATTTGAATATGATATTAAAAAGTTCACTCTTAAAATTATGCAATAAGGTTAAGTTTGGTAATGAAATCGATGATATTAAATGGTAAACAAAATGGGCTATTTTTTTGTTTTTGTTAGTTTTCATGTAATATAAGAAACTTTTAGGAATAGAATGGTACTAAAAATTGTTGGAGTTTTTTTTTATATTAAATTACAGTTAAATTATAATTACCACACCACTTTCTTTTAATTGCTGCCCATGTAATCAACGTAAAACTATTTCAGGTGTTCCCATTCTACTAACTTACAGTATCATAATCTAGAGAATACAAGCTTGAATACAATACTTCATTAATTTCATTTGTACATAAAGAATAATGATAATAGGTTTGGATCAAGGTAATAAAACTTAATAAGGAAACAAATCTAAAAATAATATCCGCAATATGATTGGTCAAATGGTATATAAGATTAACCAATGGGAATTCATTATTTTCAGACTGGTTCCCAGCATCCAGTTTTAATGACCTTTGAGCTCTGTGTATTCTGTGCAAAGAGAAACTATCACAATTTTGTGCAAACTAATAAAGCACTTAACATGTCTGTAAAAAAATATACAAAAAATAATATACAAATAATAATATACAAATAAATATTAAGCAAATAAAAACAAAAAGGAAAAAATCACAGGAGAAAAAAAATGTACAAAATAAATATACAAATATTTATAGACTAGGAATGCATGTATATAACATATGTAAATAAAAATGGACGGAAAACACTAGGTCCTGATTTAGGAATGTTTGATACTTTAATATAAATCTACTGCTTAATCATCGTTGGTGTAAAATGCAAAAAAAAGTTTTTAAAAAATGTTTGACTATTATTTTCATTTTAAACATTGAATTTCCATGTAAAATTGATTTCCATGTAAAAATGCCTGGAAATAAATCAATTATATTATTTTGTCTAATCAATCTGTTGATACTTTGGTGAAAAAAATATTATAATCATCATAGAGATAAATAATAAGCCCTACTCTTAAATCATTAAACAAGAGGGCCATGATGGCCCTGAGGTCGCTCACCTGTATATAGGCCCCCCCCCCCCCCCCCCCCCAACGTTGCAGGGCCAATTTAACCCAAGGGCTTTTATTTGCACAAACTTGGTAGACACCCATAAGAAGATGTTTCATGCTAAATATCTAAGCTCTAGCTCATCAATGGCTTTTTAAAAGAAGATTTTTTTAAAGTTTTTACTATACACATATAGTTAAAAACAATGACACCCCTGGGGCCGGGCCAGTTTTGACCCCAGGGCTTTTATTTGAACAAACTTTGTAGAAACTTACTAGAAGATGTTTCATGCTTAATATCTAAACTCTAGCTATTTGGGTTTTTTCAAAGAAGATTTTAAGTTTTTGCTATACACATATAAAGAAAATCAATGACCCCCGGGGCGGGGCCAATTTTGACCCCAGGTCTTTTATTTGAACAAACTTTGTAGACACTCGCTAAAAGATGTTTCATGCTTAATATCTTAACTCTAGCTATTTGGGTTATTCAAAGAAGATTTTTTTAAGTTTTTGCTATACACATATAAGGAAAATCAATGACCCCCGGGGCGGTGCCAATTTTTACCCCAGGGCTTTTATTTGAACAAACTTGGTAGACACCTATTAGAAAATGTTTGATGCTAAATATCTTAGCCATAGCTCTTTGAGTTCTTTAAAAGAAGATTTTTTAAGTTTTTACTATATGCATATAGGGAAAATCAATGACCCCCCGGGGCGGGGCCAATTTTGACCCCAGGGCTTTTATTTGAACAAACTTGGTAGACACCTATTAGAACATGTTTGATGCTAAATATCTTAGCCATAGCTCTTTGAGTTCTTTAAAAGAAGATTTTTTAAGTTTTTACTATATGCATATAGGGAAAATCAATGACCCCCCGGGGCGGGGGCCAATTTTGACCCCAGGGCTTTTATTTGAACAAACTTGGTAGACACTTATTAGAACATGTTTCATGCTAAATATCTTAGCTCTAACTCTTTTGGTTCCTTAAAAGAAGATAATTTTTAAGTTTTTACTATATGCATATAGGGGAAAATCAATGACCCCCTGGGGCGGGGCCAATTTTGACCCCAGGGCTTTTATTTGAACAAACTTGGTAGACACCTATTAGAACATGTTTGATGCTCAATATCTTAGCCATAGCTCTTTGAGTTCTTTAAAAGAAGATTTTTTAAGTTTTTACTATATGCATATAGGGAAAATCAATGACCCCCGAGGCGGGGCCAATTTTGACCCCAGGGCTTTTAATTGAACAAACTTGGTAGACACCAATTAGAACATGTTTCATGCTAAATATCCTAGCTCTAGCTCTTTGGGTTCTTTAAAAGAAGATTTTTTAAGTTTTTACTATATGCATATAGGGAAAATCAATGACCACCCGGGGCAGGGGCCAATTTTGACCCCAGGGCTTTTATTTGAACAAACTTGGTAGACACTCACTAGACGATGTTTCATGCCAAATATCTAAGCTCCAGCTCTTATGGTTTTTTAAAAGAAGATATTTAAAGTTTTTTCTTTCGGTTGCCATGGCAACCAGAGTTCTGCATGGAATTAAATTCTTTGAAAAATTTTTAAAGGTGACCACCAAAGGAATATTCCTGTGAAGTTTGGATGAAATTGGCTTAGTGGTTTATGAGGAGATGTCATTTAAAGTAAAAGTTTACGGACGGCCGGACGAAAAGCGATCACAAAAGCTCACCCTGTCACTTTGTGACAGGTGAGCTAAAAAAGCTTGCATAACACTTACCTGAAACAAATTTTGCAATGTAAAATAATTTACAAGACTGGCTAAAAGCTCAGCACTTTTTCAAATTGACTTTTCTCACACCTTGTTTAAAGGCCATATTAAAGTCATTTATGATTAATGTGCTGTTTATAATTATCTGTTAATCTGCGCGATTAATATATTGAAATTGTATGTAAATAAGCTTATATCATTGCCTTGTATGAGGCAAATTAATTGTAAATTTTATTCAGAGAGTTTACTAATTGATTTACATGAAAACCTTTGAATCAAGTAGTCAATCATAATTAAATCGAAGGTAAGACATGGTAAAAAAATGATAAAGTAACACAGTTTTTGTTGACAAGTCTAAAATGTGCAGAACTACTGGTACAAACAAAATAAGTAAAGGTAACTGTTAAGAATTCAAATCTTCGATATATTTTGAATGTATGTGTAATTGATTACTAATGTAAAGCTATGTAAAGCTTGTCATGATTACATGTAGCACTTAAATACTTCAAGATATACTATGCTCATCTTTGAGTAAAATATTTTTGTTGCTGAAATTTTTTGAATCTTTTATTGAATTTCTGAATATTTTTTTATGAATATATATTTAAACTGTGTCCACATATTGTGTGTAGAGTTTAAAACAGAACATATCTACTTTGTGTGACCAAAACAATTTATATTTACAAAGAAACTGTGCAACAATTTTCAATATTTTAAAATATCAAATTGGCACATAGTATATCTTTAAAATACTTCAATTATGAACTTATATTCACATACTGATGTATCTTTTATTTCTCCCTTCTATATACATGTAAGTGTTGTTTTTTTCTTGTTTTCTAAAACACCCTTCTCACTTTGTATTATGTTGCTGGTGAAAACCATAATGTAAACAAGTAACAAAAAACATAACAATTTTAACCGCTGTTTGCATTTGTAAAATAAATTCATCATGAAAAATCAGAACATGAATTCTTCCTTATTCTAACTTAGACAATAAAACCTCTGTTTGTTTTATCTTACAATTAATCATGAGCCTACATGCTGTAAACATTAATACTATATCTATCTATATCACAGAATAATTGCTTTGTGTACACACAATCATCTAATAGTATGTAATTAATTTGGGTCCGTGTTTGCATTTTGTACGAGGGAAACTCTAATACAACTCTAGAGACAGGACATATGTGACATAGTGTTTTACCTCACTATGCCATTTTCTGATACTCATTTTACACTTCATAACACACAAACAAATGCAATAAATCTATCATTAAATTCATTACATAAAATCTAATGATAATCTTGTTGATGATTTCATTTCAAAACAAGTCCCACATGTCATCCTATAAGCATTAAGCCCTGTAACCTGTCTTAAGAAGCACCTTCAATTCTTTTTATATATATGAATATTTTTATCTAAAATCTTTGAAAACAATTTTCATGTAAGTAATCTGACAATCTCAATGCCCTTAACTCCTCAGTACAAATTACAAATAAAGACCCCTTAAAGATTTAAGCACAATACAGTCAAACCTGTGATCAAAAGCCACCTGAACGAGAGAGAGACCAAAACATGGCCTTTCTATACAAGTGGTCTTTATTCGGAGGTTAATTTATTCTATTGATGTGTTGTCAAATAAAGGCCTTAAATTACAGGGTGATCTTTATTCACATGTGGTCTTTTACACATGTTTGACTGTATTAATAAAATATACATAACAGTATAACAACAAAGATAAACAATGTCATATTAGCTCAAACCATTAGTCACATTACACAATAATGCTGTTATGAAGTACATTTGTACATGTATATCTGAAAATATCTTTATAAAACAAAAACCCCTATGTCATTAACAAGTCTTTTCTGAAATTCAATCAGTTAACAAATAAAAAATTAACATCACTATGGCATATAAATATAATCTTTTCATCAAATTCAAGTTTTAATTCATGCATTTGTGGTAATGTCATTACCCTAGGCCTGAAATTACTGTTACGTAACATTTTTAGTTTTCAAAACGACAAGAGTCTGCTACAGAAAGAAGTAAATCTTAATGTTTTTATTATAAAGCACCTGTAACACAAACATACATGTATTTATAAAACAATCTTTAAATCAACAAATGAAAGAAATATGGTCATTATACTGCATACACTCTTTTAAAGTATGTAAATATAGTACTTCAAATGTTAAAATTCTTTTTTTTTTTTTTTTGCTTGAATTAATGTTGTTCCAACACCGTATATGTTGTATGGCTACCTTCCAGCTTTACTGGAATAGGAAAACCTCGGGCGTCCCTCCGTGCATTATGAACGGGCAACTGAGTAGGACCAGCGACGTTCCGTAAAGCTGGAAAGCTTTCTCACATGTAGAATCTGAAAGAAGCTGCCGCAGCTCAAACATACAGCGGTAAGAGGCAGGTGGTTTGATGTCAACAACCTTTACCGCTCAGCCATGTTAAAAAACATTTGTTTCGGACCACAATTCTCTCCAATTTTGAAAGACCAGATATCTGCCACAAATTAAATGATACCATACCCCTAAAATGTCTTTATCTTTTGACATCACAAAGAAAAATACATGTATATACAAGTTATATGCCCTCAAAGTGACATTTAATAACAATGTATCAATTAATGAGAACAGCAAGTCTAGTGAAATAATGTTTGGTATTACACATAAAATAAACATTTGCACATATTTTAATGAAAATTACTTCATTTCTACAAAAATGAAAAAGTGAAGAAAAAAAAAACAACATGTTTTTATGTTGAATTTGTATAGTAGATAAAATAAAAAGAAAGATTTCCCTGTAACAAATGACACTGTATGAGTCTTTGTTTTAATATAAAAAAACAACAACAAAAATACCACCCTATTTTGGTCATTTTTTGAGATTCTATATACCTGTACAAAAGTATCAAAATATGATGGAAATATATTGTAAAGAGCATATGGCACAATGTTAAATAGCTGTGTTTTCTTGTTATCCATCAAGATAAATGGCAGCTTAATTTTGATCATCATCTGGATTTTGATATATGAAATATTAAATTAATCTCTTGCATATTTTGCCATTTTTCATTTGATCTAGACAAGAATTTCAAATTTGATGTTTTTATGCTTTTGGAAAACTCAGTGGAGTTGCTTTAACATGAATGCTACAGTGCCAAATGTCAAAATTGGTCCTTATTGTCTAATTACTTGAGGTAGTACTAAGTTAAACATAAAATTGAGAAAATCAGAAAAAAATGGAATAAAATAAGTCATGGAGAGAGTGTGCAGTAGATCTAACAAGAAAATACCTGATGTATTACAAAATATTTTAACATTTTATAGGGTATAAAACTATATGTAATGAGATATTTTTTTAAATATTATTCATTAACTATAAAATCATATTGTTTCAATAATCGTATGGTCGATTCTCAAAACAATTAATAGGTCTCTGGGAACAGAATAAAACGTTCTGGAACAAAATGTCATGTGGCTATTTCAGAGACTTATAATACAGAAGGATAGGAAGCTCTAAAAATAGAACATTTTCCTGTCCATACCCACAATCCCTTTGCGCGAGATTCATTAATTGGCCTTTTAAGTTGTTTGATTGCCGCCATCTTGTTTTATGTAACCAAATGTGTTTACGTTTTCATCCATAATACTTTTGAGTGTATTTCATATATCACAAGGAAGGACATTTGATTGTTTATTTGGTGAATTCATTGTCACCTTTGGTGGGTTTTTTTTTAAACAAATAATACCATTATTTCATTAGTGAGGGTCTCCTACAAAAATGTGTAAGACTCCCAAATAGCTTTTTTTATGAAAAACACAACAAAACAAAAAAAAAACAATATTTTTTCTAATCATATGATCTATTAATAGCATCTAAATCACCGCAGCTTTCTAGGCAAGAAGTTATATAAATATTAACAACTAACATACAATATAGAAAACATTAACAATGCTATACTGAAACGGTTTTCATATTCAACTATATACAACTATTATACAGTTTTTTTTTTCTTTTGTGAAAAAAAAAGATAACATATTCTAAAATATAGACATTAAACAATAAATATCACGGTTTTTGGCCATTAACATGGGTAACTGACAAAATAAAAACCCTATAATAATTTCTGTTTCAAAATGTATAATACAGACGCAAAGTATTCAGGTTCTAATTCCAACAAGATAAAACATCATTTCTGTCTCATATTTATACTGATAATATGACTATAATATTTGCAAGTCTCAAAAATTTTGGTGCCTATGACAATTTAAGCTTGTAATTATAGTTTCTATTCAATTGCCAAATTCTTCCAGAAAATAACCCATTTTTAACAGATAGCAAAAGGTAATAGTAAAATGTTGCCTATTTATTTGTTTCGGTTTCAAGGTATTTCATCAGTATTTCAGTTCTGTCTATATACAGCTTCATACACCTAATCAGGGTTTCTGTACCAGACTGGTCTGTTTCTTCCCACAAAACAATTTTTTTTAAAAAAAGAAACCAGTCAATTAAGAAGTGCACAACAACTGGTGTTCAAAAAATTACTTTTCAACTTATCAATAAAAGTCCTGGAACTACAAACATCCCTGGTCTTGATGTAGTATGCATCACCACCCTGAAACTTACATATTTGTGATATATAACCCTGAAACTTCCATTTCTGTGATATATAACCATGAAACTTTCATGTCTGGGACATATAAACCTAAAACTTTTATATCTGTGACACATAACCCAAAAAACTTCATTTCTGTGACATATAACCCTGAAACTTTCATTTCTGTGACATATAACCCTTAAACTTTCATATCTGTGACATAAAACCCTGATTTTTATATCTGACATATAACCTTTATGCTTTTATATCTGTGACATATAACCCTGAAACTTCATATCTGTGACATATAACCCTAACTATCTCCCCATAGTAACCTTACTATAACTTATTAAGCCTGTTATTACTCATTTGTGTAAAAATAAATCATTCCTTAACATCAGATTTATAATCTAGTACCTGTCTATCTTTTTTCTGTGAGACACTCTACCTGTACAATTATATTTTAATTCCAATTAAGAAAATGTAAGTAAAACATCTAGCCATTAATGTATCACTAAGTGATAGGACGTACAATCTAAACATCTTAATCTAAAATATAAATATCCTACAAACTCTTAGAAAGAGAACACAACATTAAAATAATCACACTTCCGTATCAGCCACAGGTTTCAAGGTACTTTTAATCCTTTCTTCCCGCAGCGTCGGTAAAAGTCTGTCCGTAGCAACTGTATCTGTCGACCGCATCGTGGCCGTGTATGGCTGAAAAGAAACACTTTCGTGACTTCCCCTTAGCCCAGTAAAATCCAGAGGTGGTATATCCTTAATCACAGGTTTGTCTTTCTGAGCGTGAGCTTTTCTCAGGTTAGTTGGTGTTAGCGGAAGATTCTGAAATCCATCTGTGTAATCTAAACTTCCATCTGGATTTAATCTAGCTGAGTCATTCAAAGTAAATATCGTCCTGCTATTTAACTCATCATCACTTTGACTTTCAAACTCTTTTTTCTTCTTTTTTACCTTTGGCTTCTTTTTCGTATGTTTGTGTTCTTTATTTATAGCACTATCACTTCCTTTCATACTGAAGCTTAAAGATTTGTCAGTAGGCACTTCCAGCAGGGAATCAGCTGAATCCGAGTGATATTCCCCCGCTTGACCTATGCCCCGAGGGGTTACTATCGGAGGAGGCATGATCCTCACAGGGTTAGCAATAGGTGGAATATCCACATGAGATATTGTATACCCTTTGTTCTGGTACATCTTTGGATTATCTGAAATATAAAAACCATTGTACAACTATGATCACCAGTAACTACAGAAAAATGCAGTAAGAAATAGAAAAGGAACAGTTTAACATAGGTTAACACTTTTTGCTCATAAACAGGTAACTTTTATGGAAATAAACCTTTTTACTGACATTTCTGTTTTCACTTCTAATGGGTTTTTATAGGTCCTCTGTTTCAAAGAAAAAGTCAAGGTATTATGATTGTTGTGTAGCCCATAACCCAAACAATTTTAAGGGATATCAATATGAAATTTGAAATATTTGCTTGTCCTGACAAGAGGCAGTTGAAAGACTAGGGGCATAATTCTGAAAGCTATTTTTGGAGTTATGCCCCTTTTTAACTAAAATTTTTTAGCAAAAGGGTTAAATACGACTTTTGGTGATCTTGTTATTTTTTTTCTTTTTCAGTTTAAAAGATTGTTTGAAGTAATTTTGACCTTTATTTCATAGACAAAATAACGGGGAAAGAAGAGATTAGTTTTTAACAATTAAAAGATGCCTTACCCACTGTAGAAATTGCACTATTGGTTGTGTCCTCATTTGAGGACTTTTTCTTTTTCTTTCTCCGTAACTTCTTTACAGCTGTAAGTTGTTCCGCATAAAGTTCACCCTGAGTTTCCATCTATAATATCATATAGTGTATGCATTATGTGCTAAGAAAATGGTACATGAAAAATTTACAAAATTCAATCCAAAAACTCATTCTATGTCCAACAGTTGTCAGTTTTGCATCCAATAATAAAATTGTCTATATCAAATACAATAAGTTTGGTGCCATCAACATCTATTTTAGTTTTACCTCCATTTATTTAACATACATTTTTTTAATTACAATATTATTTTTAAGAAATAGAAGTTAATTTTGCGTGCATCATCATATAATATTGCAAGTATCTAGTTCAGATGCCCAGTAAAACACCATAAAGGCCATAGAACTGTAAAATAATTACAACAATAAATTACAGACCATATAAATGATAAAACCTGTAATATTATAATCATGATTAATTACAACAATAAATTACAGACCATATAAATGATAAAACATGTAATATCATAATCATGATTAATTACAACAATAAATTACAGACCATATAAATGATAAAACATGTAATATCATAATCATGATTAATTACAACAATAAATTACAGACCATATAAATGATAAAACATGTAATATCATAATCATGATTAATTACAACAATAAATTACAGACCATATAAATGATAAAACATGTAATATCATAATCATGAATTAATTACAACAATAAATTACAGACCATATAAATGATAAAACATGTAATATCATAATCATGATTAATTACAACAATAAATTACAGACCATATAAATGATAAAACATGTAATATCATAATCATGATTAATTACAACAATAAATTACAGACCATATAAATGATAAAACATGTAATATTATAATCATGATTAATTACAACAATAAATTACAGACCATATAAATGATAAAACATGTAATATTATAATCATGATTAATTACAACAATAAATTACAGACCATATAAATGATAAAACATGTAATATTATAATCATGATTAATTACAACAATAAATTACAGACCATATAAATGATAAAACATATAATATTATAATCATGATTAAAAATCAATGGAAATTTGTTTATTACATTAAGCCATGAAATAATATATGTGATGTCATTTCTGACATAATATTAATTGAAGTGACACAGGGCATATTCCGAAGCAGTAAAAAATAAAGCAGTTAAAGCTTACCAATTTACAATTGTTATTTGTTTCATGCATGGGTATCGGACTGGCAGATGGGGGCGGAGTCTCTCCGGGTGACCGATGATTCTCAGCTTCTGCATCTTCAAGAATACGCTGATAATCCTTTGAACTTGACCTAGATATGAGACAAAGTATTCTAGATTGAAAAGTATCAATAATTACTTTCAATAAACATTGTAAATCGCACAGAGATGAATTTTTTATTGCAGAATTCAAAATTGTTTTAAGACATTTTCGGGAGTTTTCATATAGACATATAGGCAAAATTAAAACTGTTCGACATATAGGCAAAATTAAAACTGTTCAATAGAATTTCTTTAAACTTGGCATGTTGTTAGAATATGATAACAGAAACATTTTAAGCGAAAAAAAAATTGGGGTCATCGTTCTCGTTTTTGAGTTATCTGCCCTTGAATTGGACTTTTTTGTTAAATTCAAGGGCAGATAATTTACAATGAAGGGAACTAATACAATTTTTCTTTCTTTTTTTCATGAAGCTTACCTTCGTTTTAGTTGATATGCAAAATTTCAAGGACAAATTTAGTGTGGGTAGTTTTTATTCCCATTTCTTCTTTTAACCTGTGCATTTTTTCTTTAAAAAATGGCCTATTTTTTATGATTTTAAAGTACCTTTATTTTCATTGAAAAAAAATTAACAGAAACAATGTAAAGAATTGCATATTATTATGTATTGAAATCAACAATAAAAAGAAAAACATAATCCAGAAGTAGAAACAAGAATTCATTTAAGTATGTATAAGTTATCTGCCTTTGAAATGACCTCAAATAAGTAGAAAAGTCTGATTCAGGGGAATAGATAACTCAAAAACGAGAACGGTGACCCCAATTTTTTTTCGCTTAAAATGTTTCTGTTATCATAACCAACAACATGCCAAGTTTAAAGAAATTCTATTGAACAGCTTTAATTTTGCCTATTTGTCGAACAGTTTTAATTTTGCCTATTTGTCTATATGAAAACTCCCGAAAAAGTCCTTAAGTTTAAATTTTTTATTAATGAATACAAATAAAAATTAAACAAAAAATTTATATTACCGTAAGCCAGATTTGACATTATCCCTTGACAGCTTTCTTTTATCACTTGAACTCAAGTCTGTTGAAGGCATGATTCGATTCTGGAAATAAAAAATCATACAAATATGATAATCTTATAGACTTATGAATACTGTTTAGGAAGTCTCTTATATAGTTAATACGTCTGTATCAATTTGCTATTATAATTCGTATCAGATTGTTGACAAATGGCAGTATATAACGGCTGCATGTAACCTCTGCCAGCGACGTTATATAAAAACTTTATGCATTACCTGCCTATGTTTTCTTTTATCTACATTTCAAGAACATCAGCATCACCTGCCTGTACTATGGGACAATGAATACACAAAATTCTTATGCATACCTGATATGTGCTAAAAAATAAATCAGTGGATTTTCAGTCATTTTACAATATAGAAAAATCATTTGTTAGGTCAAAGTATCACTTATCTGACTTTGGATTATATCATTTTTTACTAGTATTAAACATATAATAACAAGTAAAAAATGCTACATAAATGATATGTAATAAGTATTTTTATATAATAATTGGTGATGATAAGAACGTGAGACATACCCTCTTGCTACGTTTCGTGCTACTGGCAATACTTAGTTCATCATCCTCATCATCTACATGTTTTTCTTTGTCCCGTTGCCTTACTATGTAATCATATGTACTCAACTTGTTGTGAACTACAATTACATATATACATATAATATTATATTATATGTTGTCATAAATACTCATCCAGGGATGAACTACAATTATATACATTTAATATTATATGTAATCATATGTACTCAACTTGTTTTGAACTACAATAACATATACATAATATTATATGTAATCATATGTTCTCTAAGAGAGAAGATTTTAAGATAGTTTTCGTTATAAAGAAAGCATATTTTCCAAACAGACTTGAATAATACTATATTTAGCATTTTCATTACAAAACAATTGCAATGGAGTGCTTTCAGTTTTGGAAAAGAATTATAATCATAATCGAAAAATACCATGTAGCATTTACCAGGATTAATTTTCATCCTTTCACCAGAGGCTGTCAGGCTGAAACAAGGACCTATTTCCAATCCAAAATAGCTTCTTTTTTTCCCAACTTTACGTTAGAGGCCTTTTCCCAAAATAGTTGGGAAAGGCCCCAGTAAAATTAATTCCCCCTGCAGGCTAGGGTGAGATATACTTACTGAGATAAAGATGGAATCCAAACAAATGTACCAGCAGTCCTATAGCAATTATACCAAGAATAAAGTAGACACCAAGCATGGCCAGCCATCCATTGTGAGCTACCGGTTGGTAAAATATTGTCAATTCTGCTTCTGTATAATCTAAACTTGAATTCAAATCTGAAAATAATAAATACAACTTTTTATCACATACCAGTGCCTATTTTTCGACTCCATAAAACATAAAAATGGTATTGCACGGTCGTGCATATATTTTGACAAGACATCATCTGCGTTATATAAACATAGTGTAATGTTAGCGTCATTCTATACATGTTTCAATGAAAAATGGTTCTCTTTCACTTCAAACGGTCTTTATAATTGGTAGGTGATAGAATTAAAGAGTGTAAGTTTAATACTAAATATATTGCACTTGTTGAATAAAATAATATTATGCTCGCCAGAGGCTTGCATAATATAATTTTATTCAACTTGTTCTATAACTTCAGTATTAAACTTACACTCATTCAATATCCTCTATTTCTTTATTCAAAGGGGAACAACTTATCTGGGCTTGTCTGTAACATTGAATTGTTTCTCAACATGAACTATGTCTAAAATAATCATCATTTTCAAACAATTTAAAACACAAAAATAAAATGAGATTTAATAAAAAAAAATCAAAAGAAATCAATGTAAGTCATACATTTATTAAAAACATGTCTCCTATGTTACACAAACATGTTTACTGTATTTTATTTGTTTTTATTTTCACTACTTTTCATATTTCTAGCAAATGCAAATAATGAATATTGAAAATAAATCAACATTAAGAATCTTGCTATATTAAGAGATACGCATCTAGAATTCATGACCCTTTTAGCCAAATAAATCATCATCATTAGATATGGACCAATAACTCAGAGCAAAATTTCAAATTAGTTTTGCTTGTGCAAAATGACCCAAAAAAGGAAAGTGTTTAAACACTGCTTACTTTACGCTAGAAATTGTGCAAAATAAGATTATATATTTAATTCAGAGTGTATCTTTTTTTTGTATTCTTATTTCTGTTTTAAATGCCTCAGTTGATCTACATGTATATAAAAACTTAAAGTTTTTTGATTTGAGCCTTCTGGACCTCGGGGTTATTACAATATCTCCTTAAATTAATATAGTCGATATACACCCATAAATAGGAATTTATAATCTTTAAGGTAGTATTAAGCAAGTGTTTGTTTAGAAACAACATCTTCTTTAGTAATCTTAAATGCATAATCTTAAGATTCCTTCCTACTCTAACATTACAGGTATATCAAGATTGTAAGCAAAAACAAAAACATGTGTCTGTAAATAAACATACCCCTGTAAGGTTGAAGAATCGCCCTATTTGTCTGGTCAGTGTAGTAGGCAATGAATTCCACTAAAGCAACAACCACAGTGAAAAATAATGCTATAATTGCTGTAACAAGTGTTGCCAGAAACCATCTGTTAAATAAAACATAAAACAATTAAATATGCTATTCCAGTATTACTCATTTTAGTGATTTTACTAATAGAAAAGGTAAGTATCTCTTTTTCTAAAATGTATAAATCAAAATTAATCTTAACAATAATACTGTTGTCATGAAAACATAAAATCTCCTTTAAAAAATATACTGTTGATTTACAATGAATTATTATCTTAAACTTGAGTTGTCTCCCTTCCACCATGATTTTCAAGCAATTAACTAATACAACTGTGAAATTGTATTTAATAAATGGTTATTTTTAAGTCTATGTCAATTCATATAAAAATAATAATTTTTTTTATAGCAATGAAAAGGAGATTCACTTTGTCAAAATGTAACAGCCCAAAAAATAAAAACTCTTGCAAGAATTTTATCCACTAGAATGCATACTATATTATAAACAAAAATTTCAAATTGATCACAAAAATACAATTCCATCTGGAAAAATAAATAACCAATCAGGAATTCAAACTCATGACCACAGATTTACATGCAAACAAACATCCATACAATAGATCATTGATCTAAACAATCATTGCAATTGTCACAGGTTGTTCTATTTATAGAAATTGTGGTAAATATATAGAACCACTATATTCACATTCAGTAAGCTAGCTGGATAGCTTCCTCACATGAAATAATCCAGAATCCCTGACAGATTTGAACCCACAGCAGTGAGGTGCAAGTGGTTTGAGGTCAAGAACCCTAACCACTCAACCACAGACGCCCCATATAAAAAGGTATATATTTGACTTACCTATAATTCCTACCACCAATACAGTTATTTAACCATTTACAATGATGGTCAAATTCACTCACACACTTGTTACATATACTACAATGCTTGGACTTGGATTCTCTGAAAACAAAAACAAAACACCTCCAATGTCAAGACACCATTACTATACAATTAATCTTAATACTGCATGTTTGTAACATCGCTTTTTTGGATAATCCTGATATTTATATAGTTATATATACATGTATACACGACTGCTATCAATTTATGAAGAAATCTCTTTTCCTTTTTCTCTAAAAAAATCCTTGCTGTATAATCAATTTGTTATAATGTATTCTATAAAACTTAAAATAGCTTTAAATACATGTATGAATATTAAATATAAATGATAAACCTATATAATGAATGCTAAGTCAATCAAATCTTTGTAAACTATGCAATTTCTTTGCAATTTTCAGTTAAAATTTAACCAGTAATAAACTCAACAAAATAAACTGGAACAATAAAAAAACAACATTTTATAAATAAACCGATGCCGTTAAACTAGTTCTATAGATTGTTTATTGCAGTTATTTCTTCTGTAGCGGAAAATGATGATATTTTTCATACTTACACATCAACTTGGCAGATGTAACAATGACAGTTTTCTATGACATGTTTGTGCTGGGATCTATCAAATTTTTTCTTCGGGTATTTTTTCTTCAGAACAGAGGGATCAGCCGGGTCTATTGTACAACCAATTACATGGCATACCAGGTGAGCTAACAGACTTACACCTGCAACCTAGTACACTGTTAAGGCTTAATATAGCATGAATTTGTAAATAAAATGTATTTAGGGTTCACTATTTAATAGAAAAAAAGAAGAAGAAGTAGAAAAAGGAGAAGAAAAAAAAGAAGAAGAAAACAAAGAAGAAAAAATAGGAGAAAAGAAGGAAGAGAAATCGAAGAAGAAAAAAAGGAGAAAAAAGAGAGCAAGAAAAGAAAGCAGGTGATGAAGAAGATAAAGAGGAAGAAAGAGAAGAAAATCGTTTATAATGATTGCAATACATGTATACAGGACAAAGTATTCTTATTTAAAACAAATACAAAACAGTCACCCGCCCAAATGGATCTATAATTCAATTTATCCATAAAATTGTGTTGTAGAATTAATGAGCTTCAACATCAATAATTTACCCCATTTTAATAGCAAAATTCTTACATTGAGCAGACAATAATTTTGAATATTGTCATACTGAATACTGGTGACACAGCCTGTCATTGAAGTTTTATTTATATTCTGTTATAAAGTAAAACACTGGTTTATTTCCAATAATATTGCAGAAATACTATGATCAAGTATATATGTTAAAAGCCTTCAGAGGATGCTAATTTTCTACCTCCGTTTATTTTCAGAAGAGACTTTTCTTCAGATGACGCTAACTTTCTACTTCCATTTACATTCAGGGGGGATTAATAATTTAGTTACACTTTGTCTTTAATCAAATATAAAAGACAGCACTTGTCTTGGGGAGGTTTCTACTTCTGTATCGAACTGCTAGACATTTCCAGAATAAATCAATGCTTTTAGTCTCAAATAAAATAAACTTGAAGAGATAATTCAATGAACTTCAATGAAATTTATCCCTTATGCTTATTTAACAAATGCTGAAATGTATTGCATATATAAGCATGTCAGATAGGAAGTTACATGTCATGTAAATCAGTAGAAAGTATGATAATAATATCATGTTTGCAAGTCTTATTCATGTCTTTTTTCCCTTGTGATTTAAATGAAGACAATATATGAGCCGCGTCAGTACAAAATCAACATAATGGGTTTGCGACCAGCATGGATCCAGACCAGCCAGCGCATCCACGCAGTCTGATCAGGATCCATGCTGTTCGCTTACAAACCCTATAACAAGTAGAGAAACTGATAGCGAACAGCATGGATCCTGATCAGGTGCGTCTCATATGACTAAAAGAAACTGTCCTCCGTTTTGTGTTTTATGAAAAGCAGCTTGACATTTATTTGTGCAGAAAAAAACAACAGGTAAGTAATGTGGTTCAGCCCCAATGTACATTTTTGGGGGAAACAGTCTGCTTTAATATGATTAATATTAAATAAAAAGTATAAACCTATATCTGATTACATATTTTATACAAATCTAAGTAAATCAGAAAATTATTTTGTTTTCTTAATCTTTAGATCATATCTTGAAATTTTTGTAACATAGAATTTATATTTAATCATATATACATGAATATTGTATGTAAACAGAATAAGGTGTTTCAGAACAAATCATTCTGTTGCTACTTTAGTAGGTTTGATGATGATTTCATGCATGCTTCACTCTTTCAATAAAATATACTGACAACTTTCCTTAATTCTAGAAATTCAATAATCATATTAATCATAATAAAAAACAATAATTTTACAATTTACAGACCGCAAATATATAGAGAATATTGAATGAGTGTAGATTTAATGCTTAAATTGAACAAAATAAATAAAATCATATTATGCAAGACTCTAGCCAGCATTATATTGTTCCAATTCAATGAGTTCAATAAATTGGGTATTGAATCTACATGCATATAATATTCTATTTATCACCTATCCAAACAAGAACGGTTTCCAGTTAAAGAAAGAATCTATTTTCATTGACGCGCCTATAGTGTAACGCTAACATTAGCACGCTTTACGTAAAAACTTACGAAATTTGTACTTACGCATTTTTTTAGTGAAACGCCTTTACGTAAAAAAATTGTACGTAAGTAAAAACTTACGCAAATCTTAGGCGTAAGTATGTTAGTAAATTGCTGCCCTGCAACTTGGTTTATATGATAGATTAAGCTTTATACACTTATACACCAACATTCCGTAAGTTATCTGGATAGCTTTCTCATATGAAATAATCCAAAGTCCCTGTCGGGATTCGAACCTACAGCGGTGAGGGACAAGTAGTTTGCAGTCAACGACCTTAACCACTCGGCCACATATGCCCCTGTTTTATATGATAGATTAAGCTTTATACACTTTACATACTATTAAAACTTGGCACCTAAATCTAAAGATGCTATTCCATAATAATAATTATAAAGGATACAATATATCCTGCTGGCTGCCATGATTTGTGGAGTGCCGGAACAAAACACACAAAGTAAAACACAGCAAATACTATGAGGACAATCCAGGCTGCTATCTGTAGAGGGTGTGGGGGTAATGTCCAACCATTGTCACGACTTTTCTCCTCCTTGTACGACTCTACATCTTTTACACCCATCTGAAAAAATAATAAAAATTTGTTCATTCTATAGAGTTCTGAATATTGTTTTATTTGGAACATTATGCTAAAATATTATATATTTCATTATTTGCTATGTTTTAATTATCAACAGTCATTCACTCATGACTACATGTATTTCATGTTCTTGGGATTTTTTTGTCGTTGTTTTTTATAATAGAGCATACACATATTGATAATATTATTATGTCATGGTTCAGAACTGTTCACTATTTAGGGGAGAAAATGTGTAAGCGGCCAGATAGCTCAGTTGGTAGAGCCGCGGTGTGGTATTCCAAGGTCCCAGGTTTGAGCCCTGGTCAGGCTGCACATTATTTTCACCCTGTGACAGTTATAAAAAATTCAATTCAACATTAATGATATGATCAGCCTCATCATGAGTTAGTTATTGCCTGTCCTGTTCCAATTGCATTCTGCCTTGTTTAAAGATATCCTTATATTACAGAATTTGGCTTTATCCTTGGGTTCAAAATAAGGTTCTTTCCATTTCCTCATTTGATATGAATGTTGCGTTAGCTTAATAGGTAGAGCGTTGGACTGTCTTCAAATGGAGCAAACCAGATTTGATTCCGTGACAGACTGTACAGGTTACTTTCATCGTGATTGATCATGAAATCCTTCCTACTGCCATTTGGAGAAGTAAATGGGAAGACACATAATAAGTACTGGTAAACTACTTGGATGGAAAGATATCTAGCTGGTGGCTGTCTTTACTGTGGTAAATTCAAAGTGGCTTACTGTCGAGATCCTGAGGGTAAACTACCACCACCATTACTTCCCGAGTTTATTATATAGCATAAATACTTCTTAAAATATATCCAGGAGATTTCCAAGAATCTAAATTTAAATTCAAGCTCCTGCTGTGATGAACGATCAGACAGACTAAAATTGACGAATAAATATGTTTATAACATGTCACTAGATCTAATACCGTAATATTACACTTGTATTTCTTACTTTTTAGACCGGGGTTTGTACACGAGCTCTTGCAGAAGTATTAATTCTCAACGAAAATGCCGAAAAACATCCATTTTCCTACTATCTGTCAAACACTATGCGCCATTTTGAATCCAAGGTGATTATGTCAATAATCAATATTGTATAAATACGCGTGTTTACATGTACTTTAAACAAAAGTAAAACCGGCAAATAATGTCTTGTAATACAAATATTAATATATTACGGATGTTAATGGTCTATTACATATTTTACTTGACGAGATTAAGTTGCAATAAGCAAGTATATAAGAACTATTTTCATTCTGAACATCAGATAACAATATTAATCTAATACGTGCACCTGCTCTAAAAATCCTGTACCGTACTATATCCAATAAAGGAACATAGCTTAAGCTATTTAACAAGTACTTCAAGTTTAGTCAAATATTTTTAGATAAAATTTTGAGAGAAAATGTACAAATGCTCTAAGAAAAATAAAAGATTTAAGAATCCAGTTATAATTAACATATTGTGTGCAGTGAATGACTGATTTTGCAGAATTTATCACAATATTGCTAATCCATGACTAACGCTGGAAGGGCTATTTTGCCTATTTGACCTGTTTTTGGTAAATTACATAGATTTTAAGTGCCATTTGCAATATGTTAATACTTTATTAAATATTTTGAATTTTTAAGTGGCATACCTCGATCTAGATTAATACTAATTTTCATTAAAAAAAATTAAAAATGTATTTAAAATTTAAATATTGTCAAGTGAACCTGGGACCAAAAATATGCATGTTACAAAAACCATACTGTATATGTTATTTTTTGTCCCAGATTGAAGAAAGAAAGTAATTTACACATTGCAAACAGCAGTGAGCAATTAAATTCCACAAAAATTATTCAAAATTGGACAGATATGCTAAATTAGCCCTAATTGCATTAATGAATTGTGAAAGTTTTTACTTTTCCCTGAGACAAAAAGTATAAAGTATATTTCTGGTTCCAGTTTTTTTTTCTAAAATCTTACTATACTTTTCTCAAAGTAGATTTTCTTGAAATGATTTCGGCTCATCTGGGGCATCCAGCTTTAAGTGCATTTTCAAGATTTTCATGAAAATAAGCATGAATTTGGAGGCTAGCAGCTTTAACATTGCAGATGACAAAATTGAACAAAATCCAAAGTTAAAGATATGTATAAAATATGTGCCGAACACCTCTATATATAATCAGCAAATAAGAACTCCTTACCACTAGGCAGATGTCTAAAGACAGACTATTTCGGTTTCTTTTTAAATAATCCTAAAATATAAGTGCAAATGATGTGCTAGAGACCACAATCCTGTCAACAAAGACCAATTTTACCTACTTTTCAATACTTGTCTATAATAGTTTACAAATGGTGTCTGACTGTCCAAATAAGTATTCAATTGTTCTTAAAAGAAACTTTCAATGGTCAAGTTTTATGCAAAAAAAAAAAGTTTCATGCAGTTATAAAAATTGAGCTCATTAGTCTTTATTTATAACTTAAGTTACCTCCCTTGATACTATATTTTCTGATATAAATATTATTATGTTAATCTAGCTAAGCTAACTGTTGACAAAGTATCATAGATAGGTCAATCTATTGGACTTTATCCAGATCACAAAGAATTATGTCAAGCTGTTTATCAGTAGAGTACACCTAACTGTTGGGCACTGCCATAATATTACTATTTCTAGGTTACTTGTTCTTATATTTAGACAAAATGAATGCAGTTTGCTTCTGAGGGCTTACTTTTTTCCAGATATTTATACATGTACATCACTTCAGCAGGTATCATGCTCGTACTTCACTTCAGTGTCCTTATTTTCTGGTCTTTCTGAATCATTGATTCCAGCACTTTTAAGTGTTGAAAATTGAGTAATGCTCAAGCTGGTGCTAGGGGCCATTTTTCCAGATATTAGTTAATAGTTGTAGTTTTAAAGTAGGTTAATTCATTATCCAGAAACCTAAAATTTAAATAGCATTTCATCCGGCTCCAAATATGACATCATGAGGGGAATGGTGGCCTAGTGGTAAAGGTGTCTTGCCACTCAACCCAGGGATCATGGGTTCGAGCCCAAATTGGGTCACAACCATGTTTCTTAATATGACAGTACTGGTTGGTTCCAGGAAGCAGACTCAAGAGTGATTAATATAAGTTGAAAGAACTTGTTTCGCAATTGAGCTTAAAGAAATATGTTTAAACCAATATGAACAAACTTGATATAAAACTAAATATCTTAGCTACAGGCCATGAGGTGTAGGAACATATTTTGCCCCTGTGACTGGAAAATTCAATAAACCAGAAATATTTGGAAAACTTTCGTAGAGCTTCATGCAAGAAGTATAATAGACAAGTTTTCTTTCAATTTAGCTCAATGTTAGAGGTAAAACTGAATGGGAAGTTGACAACCCTCACTATTTGTCACTATTAGCACTTTGTGCTTGTAGTATGTTTTCCATATCTTAGAACATACTATAGCTAGTCTATAATGTAACCTATCTGGAATTATCTGTCAGTAGTTGACAAGCTACACTTGTTGATCAAATAATTCTATTACTAGCCTTGTAAATAAACTGTATATATATATAATTATGTATATCGAACTTTGCTATTACACTTGACATTATTATATAGTTACAACAATACAACAGTGCTCAGGTGAGTTTAAAATGTCCGGTTTATAGGGCGATCTGGAGTAGATAGGGACTGGTTAGATCTGGAGTAGATAGGGACTGGTTAGATCTGGAGTAGATAGGGACTGGTTAAGGTCTTTACCCATCAAGGGATGTCACTATGGACGCCTATAGAGGCCACAAAGTACTCTTTAAGTGGCGGCATGGCTGAGTGGTTAACATTTTGGACTAGTAATCTAATGATTGCTAGCGGCATGGTTCATGACCCATCAGGGGCAAGTTCTTGTTTCCTTGAGAAAGAAACTTAACACTCATTGCTCAGTACTGGCTGGTTCCAGGAACAGATTGGAAAGTGTGTCTTCTTACGCAATCAAACCAAAATAAATTCTTTATAAACCGAAGTACACATTGCAAAAGAAAAACAAAACAAAAAGTTCATAGATTGAAATAGATTTATTATGGACAAATTTATTGCATAGATATAATTAAGTGATCGCAAATCAATATTGAAAGATTAATTTCAATTTCAGACTTGCATAATATATATAATATATAAAAGAACATAGTTATAGTTAGAACAAAAAAGACAAAAATAAGGGAAAAAAAGACTAGCATAAACTAACTAGAAAATACAAATAAAGTATAATGTGACATTTACTCTAAGCCAGAAATGGGTAAAAGCATTTTCATTTATAGAATAAACTAAAAATAAAAGAAAAACTTAAATGAAAAGCTCTTCGGATTTGTTCATTTTTTTTTTTGCCTTTATTTTGTTCAACTTCCAAAAATCAATTTCTTATTTTCTGCAATGTGCCATATACCAAGATGCTGATTTAATTTTTAAACTGCTATTTTTATTTTTTAAAAAACAACAAAAAAAACCACTCTTAAATAAAAGCAGGAACAAAAACCCAAACAAACTCAGAATAGAAATTAGTTAAACAAAGCAGGATATATTTAAATATTTAAGAAGCAAATTAAGATTAAAATATTACAAGCAACTCAAAATCGTAAACAAAACAAACTTTTTGTCCAATTATTATTAAGTCAAAAATTGGAATGATCATTGTTTAAATTAAGGTTCAAAATAAGATAACAATTGATTGATAAATCTATTTGACAATTCAACAGGCTAGTATTTATCACAAAACTTAGATAATTAAAGGCACTTGGCCAAATTTGTAAAGTTTAATTCAGGTACAATTATATAGATTTGAGTTGTCTCCCTTTAACCAGCATTACACTTATTACACCTAAAAAATGAAAACACAGTAAAGGAAACATTTAACCAACTTGCATCAGGTAAATAGATTTAAACATAATAAAATTTCAACTTCCAGAGCACAAATAACATACAAATAAAATTTGTTCCCACCAATTAAACTGAAAGAGAACTTTTTCTAAGGCACTGCCTTCGTTCACAATCATTATCAACATTGTCATGTGAAAAAGAATGGTTCCTTCTTTTTATTATCTTTTAATAACACGTTGTTTCAATGATATTAACCCTTAGAGAATATCATACTTTACTTCAATAAATTATTTCTTATATACATTGCATTTATATAATGAAGTATTTCCCGTCGTTCTAAACATTTTTAAAACCCTGTATTTACGCAGGAACCATCATATCTTTATATTTACGCTGGAATCATGATATCTTTAAATTTACGCTGGACAAATTTTCTTTAAAAGAGGTTCATTTTCACATGACAAGTTATATTAAACAAATATACATCATATTAATATCAGAACAAAGATTTAACTACCATATATAATTTTTCTACCATGTGGAATGTTCATGTATGCATAAAATGGCAAAAAAGCCATGTAAAGTTTTAAAAAAACACATTATATATGTATTTCTAACTTGCATCATATTTACAATCATATAATATATATATATATATAAATATATAAACAAACATAACTATATATCCATCCCATCTGGCATCAGCACCATTATATTTTTTTCTTTTCCCTAAAGTTACGAAATAGCCAACAAAGTTTTTTTTAATTTTTACAACATTCAATATTTCCCTGCAAAATCCCCTACCGTTAAATTTGCATCTAACAAAATTCCCTTTATATCAAGAAAATACTAAAATTACAAGTCATTAATTTTTGCCAAAAGATTATTTCAAGAGATTGTTTGTTGTTTTTGTTGTTGTTTTACAACTAATTATATAAAAAATATAATTATCGCCAAATAAAAAAAAAAAATAAAAAAAAAATAATACAAAATCAGTAAACCATATTACAAAATGTTACTTCGAATAATTTGACTCCATCTTTTTAATCTTAATTTAAGATCACAAAAATTCTGTTTTCTCATTATTCAAATTTCTGTCAACAAATTAAAAAGATATATCTAGGTACATAAACACAACATTTATGTTTGACTGAGTGACTTATGCCTAGCAACAAATATTACTGCCTACAGCATATTTGCTGTCTATACTTGAATGGTAAATATAAACAATGTTTTTATATCAAATTTGCATAAAAGCCTAAGGCACATGTCGCAGTAGTTAGAAAATCAACAGAAATATTATTATTACATCAATAAGGAAGAGCTTTCTAAATAATCAAAAACTTCAGAAAGAATGATCTTGTCAAATAATGAAAATGTCTTCGATGTGTCATAAAAATATCCATCTAATATAAAAATCTTTCTTGGAAGACAGTATTTTTTCTCTGGCAAAAATTGCACACAACAACATACAACATCTAAACTATACTGCAAATTTCTTTTCAATTCTTAATGGTAGTTTAATATAAACTTTAGAACCATATTAATGACTTTGTTCAAGATTTACATCTTCTTATATTTGGTTATCAACGATTTATATTACAATATATCTTCATCTAAGTGCAGTAACTGGTCAACTCCTTCTATATTTAATAGGAGTTAACCAGTTATTGCACTAAGGTGACAAATTATACATTTCCATACTGATATAGGTCTCTCAAAAAAAAAGACCAGTTTCCGTCGCATTTATCTACTTTACTACCTGATTACTTTATTTACAAAACAGTAACATATAAATCTGTACATTATTGGAAGACAATGATTTGTTTGTTTTTTTCGTGCTACAGATTATAATTTGTATAATCCCTCTATATTACATAATATATTACAGACCCTTCTACATTGATAGTAGCTAATTAAGAAAAAATTAATACACATTTTTGTAATTAACTATTATTTTTATTTACATGAAAATAAGCTATTTAACATAATTCTACAATAATTGCACTTTTCAGAAATGATAATGAAAAGCAATGGTTCAAATGTTAAATTTTTTTTATAATAAATGCAAAAAAAACAAAAACAAAAAATGGCAGAAAATGAAAATGTTACATATACATGAAAAACACCTAATGGCGAAATCCACTTTTTAATGAAATACAATTATAGAACAATGTTAGAAAGTGATACATAACAACAAATGATGAAAGTTCGTGTTTGTTAACAAAGCACCTTATTGTCATTGAAAAATTGCACTTTTATATTATGATATAGTTATACATGTCAACAGTAGTGTGCAAATGCAGCAAAATCTAAAGTTGCAATAAATTTAAACATTATCTTAATTTTATCATCAGTAAAATTCAATTCTGAAAACTTGGTTTAATTTCACGATGATTTAACAATTTAAGCAAAGCCTTATTGGATTACAAAATTTATATATACATAAAATTACAAGTATTACTATGTTTTCAAATAACAGATTATAATGTAAACATTTTTGCACTATTTTCAATTCTTTATACAAAGGCACTAATATTGGCTTGGATTTTTGTCATTTACAAAAATTTTCTAAAAAATATAACAATTTATGTACACGAATATAAAATTTATAGGAAAAAAAATAATTGGGGAAGACCTTCTTGGACCCTGAAATTTACATATCAATTTATAAATCAATTGAATAAATGCTGGAATGATATAACATGTAAAGAAAATAAACATTGATCAACAATGTTGTTCTGGAAGATTTGTTCCCGTCCCATCCTGGAAGACTGGTACCGATAAAACTGGTCCCTTCAATACATCTCACTTGGTCCCGCTTTTTTTCAACTCACAACATTGTAACAACTTTTGGCAGGAAATTTAACAGAAATGTTAATTTGAAAAAAGAAGTCCTTTTCACTATAAAAGAGTTCCTGGCATCTTTTCCTTACACACTTTTTAAAAAAAATGTCTTTGTTCAATATTTAACACATTAAAAATACCTCATTCCAATGATTCACTGAATTAAAAAGTTCATAAATGTCATCACTTGATATGTACCATACAGTTCAATTTTTTTAATATAAATGTTGTTTTTCATGTTGAATCATTGTGGACTTACAGTCAAACTCTCGTTCACAGAACTGGCAAACATACACCTTAGTTTTTTCTGTTTCTTTCACTGCATCTTGTTTTTGAGGATTAGGTTCCTCTGATTCAGAGCTCTCCTTCTTTGGAGTCTCATTCACAGTAGAGTCTGGTTCCCCTGCTGTTTGGTTCTCTGCAGCATCGCCACTATCTTCATTAAATGCTTTAACAATGTTGCGTTTATGAGTATTGCTTTGTCGGCGTAGGGATCTTAACATTTCCCTGTCAACGGGTGTACCAGGAAAATGAACTTGAACATGATTAACAAGATCGTCCTCCTTACTGCAACTGTAGGAACAGTACATGCATCTACTTTTGCCTGGTGTCTCGTGTTGCTGAAGATGATTTCCAAGTTCATCTTTTGAAGGTGTGCTGAACGGGCATTTCTCACATTTATGATCAGTATCATTACCGTCACTGCTGTCACTGTCAAGGTCATTTGTACTTGATGATGTAAGAAATATCTGTGGTCCAATCACATCAGAACTTCTCTTCATTAACATTTCCATCTCTTCTAGTGAATCACTATCAGAGTAACTGTCGTTGTGGACTTTCAAGTGAAGCTGCAGCAATGCTTGACGGTCACTGCTGTAATCACATTTCGTACATGCATACTCACGACCTGATGAGTGCATTGATGTGTGGGCAACGAGTAGATTCTTGTTTGGACTGCTATATGGACATTTAGGACATCTGTGCTTTACTCCGCTGCTACGTTCTGTCAATGATAGTCGGATCATCTCCTTTTCTTTCTTGTGTAGTTTGATATGTTCGTTTAATGAGGTAATATTGTTGATACTGTATGAACATTCAGAGCAGCTGTAACGAGCTTGAATACAATGAAGCTTCTTGTGGTACGAGTATGTGTTCACATTGTCAGACCTGAATGGACACATCTTGCATGAGTATATTTTCTCACCTTTCTTATTTTTCCTCGGTGGTGATGAAGATTTTTGTTCTTCAGAGGCAAGTGGGCTTTCAGGGAAATCAATAGCAGGTACACTATTTACACTGTCAACATTATTCTGTCCATCCAACACATATTCCCTATTGAGGAATACTATATCACCAGGAGTAGGATTGTAATCCTTCTCGTGCACATGGACTCGACGATGCTGGCAAATCAGGTTAAGCCTGTCTGTGCTCCAGTCACAATAATCACATTTGTATTTGCGATTCAGACCATGCATCTGTAAATGACATTTGTAACTTTTCAACGCTTGACATTTGTATGGACACTTGTTGCATGAGTAGCGTACCTTTTCCTCAGAACTTGCAGCCTTCTGTGATATTAGAAGTTCCACATTTTCATCAATGGTTTTAGCTGAACCCTCAGAAGGTGGATATGCAATCTCTTTACCAACTTTCATCAGCATAAGATCGTAATCCTCATGATTCTTATTGAGCAAGTTTGACGTCAATGGGGCAGATTCAAAGTCTTTTTCTTGGAAATGAAGTCTGCGATGCTGGGAGATAAGGTTTACCCTGTCAAGACTGTAGCTACAGAAGTCACATTTAAACTTGTACTCTGAACCATGGAGACGGCAATGCTTCTTAAATTCAGCATGACTGTTACTGCTATAAGGGCAATCCTGGCACTTAAAATTCCTGAACTGAATTTCGCTGTCAAAGGCACCTTCTTCATTCAAATTCCTTTCAGCTATTCTCTCAAGACCTATTTCACCAATAGTATCTCTCAACTCTTCTTCCATCATGGCAGCTTCCTCATCATCTTCAACATCAGGAACATCTTCATCCATTTTTTCATAACCATCATATTCAGTGTCAACTTTGTCTGTATCCATGAAATTCTCTGTTTCCATTGGTTCATTATCATCAGGGAACTTCTCTATTACTCTATACATTTCACTAAATGGATCAAGAGTGATATCAACAACTTGGTCTCTGGCTGGAGGTTTTGACTGATGAAAGTGGACATGTTCTTCTAGTTCACTTGTAGCTTTAGTGCTGAATGTACAAAGCTGGCAAGCGTAAGGACTGCGATTGATATGGTTCAAACGGTGATTCAAAATTCTTGTCTTGCTTGATGTGTAGAATGGACAAACTGAACATCTGAAGCAAATATTATCCTTTGTCAGTTTATGTTGTACTCTGTCTGTCTCATTTGCTCTGTTGGCAAATCTATTGGCATATTCGTGATCTTCAAAAGACTCTTCTGCTGTAGAATCATCTTCAACACCAGATGAAGATCCCATGGGCATGTAGCGTGTGTTGTGTAGTTTAGCATGAAAACGTAGGAAATTGTACTGATCAACACTGTAATCGCATAGCTGACATTCGTATTTCCCATTATAACTATGTTTTTCCACATGAATATTCAATTTTTCTTTCAGCGATGTTTTGTATGGGCATTTTGAACAAGAGAATGTTGGAATATTCTTCATGCTGTTATTACTAGTGTTTCCTGACTCTCTGCTGTTGTTAATCTCTGCTGGAAAGTCATCAATAAGAACAGATGTTCTCGGAGAATTGATGAGGATGAAGTTTGGCTCCTTGGGATGAATGTTTTCTAGATGATTTTGGATATGTTTGAAATTGTCTACACTGTAATCACACTGATGACAATTGTATTTATTGTTCTGTCCATGTTGCAGACTATGGTTTGCTGTATTGGCTGCATGAACACTGATATACAAGCATTTCAAGCACTTATAATGTTTCCTTCCGTCTAGACTGCATACTTGTATAGGTGTACCTTTAAAGATTACCTCTTCTTGTAACATTAATATTGGTTTCTCTCCTCTAGCAGAGAACTCTGACAATGCTCCGGTTTCGAGCAAACTACGGCCCTCAAATTCTTGTTCTACATAATTGCCCTGGATATTATTGTTAACTGAATCACCTGCAACATTATCTTCTCCCATTTCAAAATCATCAATAATGTTGTTATTGTTGTCCTCACTGTGTGAGCTTAGAGTAATCTTCTCTTCAAGAGTACCTTGCCATTTTGTAGGATGTGTTCCCTTCATGTGTTGGTAAAGGAGATTCAGCCTATCAATGCTGTAGTCACAATATCTGCATGTGTGTTTACAATTGCTGCCATGGTGTTCGATATGTCTTAAATACGTCACAGCATTTGGTGCAGTGAATGAACATTTTGTGCATTGAAAAGATCTAGACTTTTTCTGAATTCCTGTACCAGCACTAGCACTCTTTCTTGCCCTCATTACAGCTAGCTGATGAGGAGACAGTTGTCCTTGGTTACTGAAATCCTGACTGTTGCTTGAAATAGACAGTTGACTTGGAGAAGTTTGTGTATGACTTGTCTCAGGTTTTGGTGCTAAAGGGATGTACTTTCTTACCAAACTTTGAGAAGCAGCAGCTTGAGCCTGGAGTTGAGTCTGGATCTGTTGCTGTATCTGTGGCTGCTGGCGAGCCATGAACTGATGATACACTTGGTATTCTCTCTGTCTCTCTCGAACTATTTGTTCAAGCTGGGACCCTTTTGATGGAGCTTGCCTAGCAGCAATATCGCCTGCTTCCTGTGCTTTCAGCTGGTTTGGATGCAGAGACTGAGAATGTTGGTATAGTGCTACAACGTTTGGAAATGTTGCCGAACACCACTCACAAGGAAGGTTCATACCTCCAATATCTGCTGCTTTGTTGTTATTGTTGTTTACAATGTTGTTGTTGTTATTGGATGCAATTTGGCCCTTTCTTTCTAATTGGCTTGTTGGAGTTGATGAGCGCCCATTCATTGAAGCAGGTAACTTTGAAAAGTCCATAGCACTATCTGTATTCTCAAATCCACTTTCGTAACCATCAACATTGTTGTTCTCTTCAGCACCAGACACACTCTTAGAGTCATCTCCATTAATTTCTCTTTCTTCAAGCTCTTCCATTTCCATCAGTTCTGTGGCAGTGACATTGCCGTCTGCTTCCGAGCATTCAGCAGGATTATAATCTGGATGAAGCCTCATATGCTGAAGCAGGAGAGTTTTACTGAACACATTGTAGTCACAGAACATGCACTGGTAGGTATCTGAACCACGTGGTATATGCATTGCAGCATGAACATCAAGGCCATTCTTTGTGAAACATACAAATGGACACCTGTCACAACGGAACTGCTTGACTGGTTTTCTACGATTTTTCAAGTGAACTGTTCTTGTTGACACTTCACCAGGAACTGGTGTAGAGGTACGGGAATTACTCTGCGACTCTTCAGCATTATGCGAACGTTTATGATGCAAGAAGGAAGACAAATCATTTCCATGGTATCTACATTTGGAACACTTGTACTTTGCACTTTCATTCTTTGGTGACGAAATTGCACTATCTTCTGATTCTTCCATCATGCTACCATGAATACGTAGATGAAGGTCAAAGGCATTCTTTTTGTAGGAGTTATAAGGACACTGCGGACACATGTACAGTGTAGACTTATTCTCATCATCACTATCATCTCCAATTTCCATAACTTGATCATTACTATTGTCAGCTTCTTCTCCACTGTCCAAGCTATCTGTGTTGAAATGCCCATAAGTTTTCATATGCTTCTTCAAGTCACACTTCCATCTAGTGCTGTAGCCACACATGGTGCAAGAGAATGGTTTGTTTTCAGAGTGTAGAACAGAATGTCTGCGAAGCTCTGCCTGGTTGCTACCAATAAATGGGCATTCCAAGCAATGATGCATGCCCTGATTAACAAGACTGCGGAAAACTGGTTGTTTTGCTGCATTCAATTGAGCCTGTAACTCGGCTGCTGAGCCCTGGATGAGATCAAGTCCCTCCGGATGATCTTGCCCACCAAAAGCCATGGTAAAATTAGGAGTTGAAGTCTTACTACTGCTACTACTGTTTGAGGAATTTCCAGCATGCATGCTTGGACTTATCATTGCAGGACTAAGGGAGTTAGAACGTTGTTGCCCAGGGAACACAGGTTGGTTTGGACTAGATTTCTGGAGATGAAGAGGTGATTGCTGTTGTTGCTGGCTACCTGGAAGAACTGTTACATTTGGAGGAGCCATTTTCTTCAATTTTGTGGTATCAATGACATCATGGACTGTTCCACCTCCACATCTTCGAAGATGTTTAACAACATCCCATTTCCATTTACTCTTGTAGCTGCATCGTGGGCAATGGAATGGCTTTTCGTTTGAATGGTTTTTCATATGCTGTGATATTTCAGACGGCCATCTTGCACGATACTCGCATACTGAACACTTGTATGGTAACAAAACATCAGACTTTCCACATTTACCATTTGGATCAACTGGTCTTTGTGGAGTGGTTTCTTCCTCTAGTGGTTTGCCATAGTGCAACCTTTGTTTAAGAGCTTCATTTACATTTTTCTTTGGAGTTTGATTTTCAACATTTTCCATATTTGAAAGGTATGATTCCTCCATGGCATTTCTTTCTCTCTTCATCTCACTTACTTTCAATAGAGGCTCTGAAAAGGCAGCTCTATTTTGGACTGGTATCTTCAGATTTGGTGGGGTCTCAAGTTGGCTCATCTCTCGTCTCTGACGCACCTGTCTCTCCAAAAGTTCACGGTAGAAATCTTCTGTTTCTTGTAACTCAGAATCAGAAAGACGCCTCTTCTTCAAAGGTGGTGCTTCTTCATCAAGGATATAATTTGTAACAGACAAACTAGCTTCAAGTAAGGCAGCAGAGTTCTTAAGAGCATCCAATGGTGTGGAAGTCCCAAGTGTGGTAGATGTGGATGGGAGAACACCGCCCCCTTCACGTCGTTTATATGGGTTTGGAAGAGAACTATGACTTTTCTCAAAATGTTTCACAAGGTCCCATTTCCATTTGTAGGTTGATGCACAGACCATGCATACGAATGGTCGCTCCTCTGAATGTGAAACTGCATGCTTCTGAAGTTCTGCAGGCCACTTAGCAACAAAGTTACACATACTGCATTTAAGCTGTTTTGGTTCATTTGATAGCAACTCTTGTGAAGACAGTCCAGATATAGAATCAAGTGGCATTTTAAGCAAGTGGTATGTCTGCTGCAATCCATGTGGAATCTTCTGAATAGCTTCCTTGTGTTCTTGAATCTTCTCTGAATGACAATCAAGAAAATGTTTGTTCAAGTCATCAACACCATTGAAGTGTGCCTGGCATTCTGCACACTTAAAAGCCCTCTTGTTCATGTGAAGGGACATGTGTGCACTGAAGTCCACCAAACTTTTTGCAACAAAACTGCATTTATTACAACGGAGAATTGATGAACCATCCATATCAGCTTGCATTTCTTGGCCCTGTTTCATTGCTGCAGCAATCTGATTATTTGCCTGAGAAACCATCATTGCTAGAGGCATGTCTTGAAGACTGTCACTTTCACTATTTGTATCAGTTTGCCAAGAAGGTTCTGCTTTAATATCAATTTTCTTAGGCATCCAAGATGGAGATGATCTGGACTCCTGTTTCTTGGAGAAATCCAGAGGCTTAGAAAAGTCTAATGGTTCAGACTGCTGGTTTTGCTGGAACAATGCTTTGTCTAACATTCTATTCTTTTCTGCCTTTTGGTTTTGTTTTAAAGAATCAATCATCTGTCTTATTTCGTGGTGGCTTTCTGGTGTACGTGTTCTTTGACCTAGATGATTAGACATGGATGGAGATGGGCTGTCATACATTCCAGAATTTCCATTTGTTCCACCAATAAATGGCCCTATCTGTCTTGGCATTACAACGTTTGAAAGGGATGGTGATGGCGAAGGTGATAATTTTTCAGATGATACTGAATGAACACTTGTTGGTGTGCTTCGATTCTTCAGCTGGTTAGCTGGTGGGGCTTGCGCTGGACCGTAGACAACATTAGGAGCAGCTGGTGGAGGAGGCTGACCACCATATTTAGCCTTGAATCTAGAGAACAGGGTATAATTCTGCAATGTGGCTGGAGGTTTAGTAAGATCAGGTATTTCACCATAATGTTTCTCCTTCCAATGTTTATTGAGAGACTTTCTCCACTTATACACATTACCACATTTCGAACATGCATATTTTACGCCAACATCGTCAACAACTTCATAGTATTTCAATGGGTCAACTTCTTGTCTAATTCTTTTCTTCTTTTCAACTGGTGCTCCTGTAGTATTTACTGTCCCATCAGGAGCAGACGACAGAGTTACCATATCGTCTTCATCTTCTTCATCAACAAAACCGTCATCGTCCACATCATCCTCACCATTTGCATGTTCATTTGTTGAGCTACCCTCCCTATTACTCATGTTATCTCTCATTTCTCTAAGTTCTCTTTCGGTTAAACTACTGTCCAAGTCTGATTCACCTTCTTTACCACTAAAATGAAGTTTGCGGTGGCGAGGAAGCTTCTGTTTATATTTAGTAGCATAATCACAAATGTCACATTCATATATCATCATATCTGGGTGGTGATGATCTTTCTGGTGCTGTAAATACTCCTTTGCATTGCTTGAGCTATAATCACATTCAGCACATACATATGTTCTGTTCTGAATATTTCCACTTCGGCAAAGTGAGGTTACATCCGATCCACTTGTATCAAGTAAATCACTAACTTCATTATCTTCTGCTATGACAAGGCGATTTTCATCGTCTTGTTCATCATCTTTGTTCACAAGAACTATTTCTTCTTTATGCCCATTCACTTTCTCCAGAACTAAATTTTCAGTAGATGGTCTTCTTTTACCCTTACCAGAACTAGTCTGTCCATTATCAGAATCTGTTGATGGCTTTCTAGGAGCTAAAGCCAAACTACTTAATAGCTCGTGTGAAATTTGTTCACCTTCCATATTCTGTCCTTCTGTACTTTCTCTTTCAACACTATTGTTTTGTAAAATATTATCACCTTCACTTTTTTTAATACTCTCTTCTGTTTCACTTGCAGTTTTCAACTCTGTTGAATCTTTATCAGTATTTTCCAAATTCTGATCCTTTGATTTTTGATCTTCTGCTGAATTTCCTGTAGCAGACGACTTCCTGCGTAGGCTATTTTTTCGTGTTACAGCTTTATCTTCACTATTTTCCTCAGCATGAGCATGTAAACGATGGTTCGAGAATTCACGTACATCTGTTGTAGTAAATCGGCACTGTTTACAGATTCTGGCACGACCAGCACGCTTTATGCCACTGTCATTTGGAGACCCATCCTCATCTTGTTTAACACCATCAGACATTGTGTTGCTATACTAACACAGCTAGATATCTCCTGAAAATACACACAAAAAAGAACATTTTGAATAATGTGAAATGAAACTTAAATCACTGAAATTCATAAAAACAGCAAAAGGAATACAATTTCATTAAAGGGAAGTAACTCATTTAAGCTTATCACTGACAGTAAACAATGGTAAATTTCATTACCTCCCTTTAAACATCAACTAATATGTTCCTTCATTAAAGAAAGTTTTATCAATGAAATATTACATAATAAAAAAAAGACAACAAAAAAACATTAGTTGTGAAATGAAGTGTAGCATTGAAATAAGAAAGAATCAGACATAATTATAAACAAATTTACTGAACAAATATTTTAAGAAATAAGATAGCCCACTTCCTGTTTACTTAACATCTTCTACAAATATTTTGTTGTCAAATAGAAGAATTCATTACTAGGAGATATATCTTGATAACTAACTATTCATGCCAGTAGTTTAAAGGAAGTGATCCTCATAATGGCCAATGAAGAAGCAGTCACGAGAACAATATGTCAATTGCTGTTATTTTGTTTGCATTTTCAAACCGATTTCATATACATGTATAAGAATTAAAGAATATTTCATAAACTGCTTATTCATTATTTAAAAAAAAATAAAAAAAAGATAAAAATCTGAAAATTACAAGGCACACAACTATTTCACAATATTTTAATTTTTCATTTCACAATATTTCAATTTTTCATTTAATTCCAATCTTACATAATATTCTTCCACCATTCAAAAGAACAACAAAAAGCCAGAAAAAGAGAACAATTCTGTTTCTAAAAACCTTACCATTCTTTAAAATTTAATCATCCATTTATTTAATATTCAGCTGTAAATTAACTAATTATAAAATTTCCAATATCTCCAATTATTCAATTCAATTGTCATATCATCACATCAATTTGTAAATAATCAAAGTTCAATTAAAACTTTTTTTCAATTAATCATCATCATAATTGCTGAATCAAATTCACTTTATTTTTTTTTTAATTCATAATCTGTGTACAAATTTTATTCCCCAAAAGTATTCCGTCATAAACAATAAACAAACTCAATAAAAGTGATGTTAAAAGTTCTAGAAGTTAAACCAGCCTTTTTCAGCAGACGATTTATTCAAGCTGTTTTCAAGTAGCCAATCAGGTTTAAGGTTTGTGCCACAGAGGCCCTTTTCTAAGTTTGTCAGACGAATCACGTTAATTGATTTCACCTGTTGTCACATCCCATACCTAGGTAACGTAAGCTTTCTGTCAAACGTAAAAAACAGGAGTGTTTATATGTTTTTTATCTTTCTTAGTCACATAGCCGGCAATCACTGCCTGTCATAAATCAACGTCTCTACAAAATTGGTTCTTAATTTTCGTATATGTAAGATCGGTGGACCATAAAAGAATCCTGTGTGCGTATAACAATTTTTGTCAACATTAATTATTCATGCAAAACAGTATGCCAGTATCACAGTAATCTAAAAGGATATCCCTACATGCCCATGCCTAAATTTAGGAATTAATGACATTTTCGTAGAAAGTAATTATTTCAGTTTAAATTTTCCATATGGAGATGACATCTGTAAAAAGAAATGCTCCATTAATTAAAATCATACAAGTGGATAATCCCCAACCAATAAAATCCGAGCCTGATAATGAACAGCCAAAAAAAAAGAGTATAAATCAACAGCAAGCATCTTTTAAGGAAATTGAAAATCGCATAAAAAGTTTAATAAACTTTCAAAACCAACCTTGACACAGCATGAAAGCTGTAAGCTGGAGAGAATCATCTCCTAGCAACTAATCAACTATGTAAGGAATTATCTGATTAAATCTGCACAAAAATCAACAGATTATTTTCCGTGTGACTGTTAAAAACACACCTGAGCTAGACAACAAGAAATCCCATCCTATTTCTCTCACGCCCTATTCCTTCACACTAACAACTGTCACAAAATCTGTCTGTTACTTTCCTAGAGAGTCTATTTGGCAAGAAGAATGTCCCCTGAAGCTATTAGGTACTCTGTTAAAGTCACAATATTTCTTTTATTCGATAGGCAAGTCATGCTTTGTGTACCATGAAATACAATCTTTCAAGCCATATATCTGACACGGCTTTAGAAACCGTGGGATGTTATTCCAAAAGTAAAGATGATAATGTATACAATACATACACAAAAAGAGACAGCCACGATATAGAAATTACTTTTACGCTTATGCTTTTCAGGAAGAATAATTTAACAGATCGTTTGAAAAAAACACATATGCCAATGCCTTTTAAAATTGAAATTGTATTTTTTTTGCAGTATAAGGAAGGAAAATCAGACTTTTAACTAAAGTATTAAGTTTTGATATATCAGGACATCTCCGTCTTTAAAATTCTATGTGAAATGAAAGGAAGCACAAACAACTTAATCCTGTCATCTGTTACAAATGATGCTATTATGTAAAAAGAAACTATATACTGTAAGATGATAAACGATTTTTTTTTTTTACAAAAACATAACTACATTGCTAAAGAAGAAAACATTAAAAATCAAAAGATTGAAGTTTCCTACTCGGTAAGTTATTTTACATTCCTAAGATCAAACCGCGGTAATTGGCGACTGAAAGTCACCTATATTGTAGAATCATAACCATCAATTTAAGAACATTAAGTTGCTATTAGATGAAGGCAACGATTGTAAAACATGACTCGCCTAAGGCCATATCCGTGTTCAGGAATCAGTAAATACACTGCCAAATTGTTCGTTTTATCAACGTCTTGTGAACTCAGGCATGGAAATAACATCAGAATATAAAATATACCTGATCGAGAGGTGACTGTCACAACTTTCCCAAATATGGAAATTTGATACACTCGAGTTTACATAATGTGAAAAAAAAACAATGTTTCATTAAAATATATAAAAAACTCAGTAAAAGTAGAATTATAACGAGACTTCAACTGATTAAAAAAAAAATTCCTTATAAAATATTTTACAATATCATTTACTAAAATAAGCGAACAGGAATTTAAAATCTTTTAACTTTTTAAAAATTCTTTATTACAATGCGGCAGTTGGAGTGGTAGTTTGATACCTGCGTAATAATATATTCTTAATGCCACAGCTTTTATCTGCAGATCAATTCCTTCGCCTTTAAAACTGTTGAGATTTTCTTCTTATCAACACTGCCAAGAGACATTTTCCCACTGATGACTTGTGATTCATTTTGTACTTAAGACAGTATAGCAGGAAGGAAACCCTTTCAGCCCATAAATTCCAATAATGCTTGAGTACCCAGGTAATTCTAAACAAACAAAATAATCTGTGAACAGTTCTTCAACCGCGATATGGCTACATCGCTGTAGAACCAGTCAACCCTTTTGTGTGCAACAAATGAAATATAATCAGGGAACCATTCCAAATTGGGAAATCTTGCTCCTAGTCACGAGAAGCTTTTCATTTTTTTAATAAATACCTCTACTGTGTACCAGTCTGAATTTTGGCACTTTAATCTGTGTCACTAAGCGTCCCCCAGCTATTCATCTCCGAATTAAGTCCTCGCCCTATTGTAAGCATGAATTATTCCACTCGAATTCCGACCGGGCAGAAATACAATACATCTTTTGAAAAATGGAGACCATTTATGTTTGCACTGGTTAGGTTTTCGAGTTTAACATTTCAAGCCTCAAAGACCACAGAGGTATCAAATCTTAAATGTGGAATTTATGATCGGAATTGAAATGAAATATAATGTACAGTCATGAAAGCACGAATTTAATTTCAGCAAAAAAAAAAAATCAGGTAACTGCACCTACTTGTAAAGCTAAATATGGAAAGTGATCTCTTATAAAAACTGGGTACTTCTTAAAATACAGTATTAAATCAAAACAACTTAGGATATAGAAAAGATTAGAACCCTCTGTAATAGAGAACTCCTTAAGCATGCTGATTTTAAATTAGAGGAAGATTTTTAAGACCACCAGATAAACTATCTACTATAATGCAATGACCCTTAATTACCGACATATTTCAATCTGTCAGTCTTTTAAACATCAGGGAAAAAAAACATCAGAGAAAATCTTAAATAAAGAAATAACCACAAAAGGACAGGAGACTATTTTAAGTACAAAGGTCATCCTTGGCGCACCAACATAAAAATGTTATAACAATGAAGAACTAGCATCGCCCTACGGCAAATTTACAATTTTTGCTCCGTCACTTCTTTGAATAACTGAGCACTCGACTTCCAAAAATTCTTAATTACTATGCCTGGTCGCCAAAAAAAGAAGAACTCTTCAAAAATGCTTCATTGTCACTGAAAAATACCTGGTTGCCATGTTTAAAGTGTGACTAGAAGTCATGCAAATTCACTGCGTTCTACAATAGTTATCTGTCACTGTAAATCTAAACGCCCTGACTGAGATTCCATTATACTGTCAAAAGGTGACAACAATAAATAGTACAACGCAGTATCACTGCCAAATACGGAGAGGCCCCGCCATTTGACATCCCAACAAATAATGCTTCCCATTTATGTTGTAAAAGATGTAAAAATAATTTATTTTAATTATAATACAAAATGCGAGCGGAAGTGTAATAACTGAAGTCTCAATATAAGCAAGACATAATTATATATATTTGACATATTAGTTCATTCTCAGACACCATAAAAATAGTTTTTAAATCTTTTTTTTTTTTGCAATTTCTTAGAAATTGGTACAAATAGGTTCAACAAAATCTACATGAATTATGCGGCAGATTTCCTACCATAAAAAAAGTAATTATATTTTACATTAATTAGAACTCAGTGCAGAAAAGTTAACTGTACACCTTATTAGACAAGCATGTGCAATAGAAAAAAAAAATATTGATTTCTAAAGTCAATATATTTAAATCACATACATACATGTTTACAATTAGCTAAAACATGCTTTTTACCCAACTGACAGACATGTATAAATTTAATTCTGCCTTGAATTATTTAACTATTTAACAGACATAAAAAAACCCTCATAATTATATTCACACCAGAGTGACATTTTTTACTTTTATCATTATTCATTATAATTTCGATCATTCCACAATTAACTGACTACAGACGAGACATCATCATAGACCCCCCTTCCAGAACCTAAGACCACAGATGAGAGAACCCAGGACCACAGACAAGACCATCATATTACCCCCCTTCCAGAACCTCAAACTCTTATGTTGATTACTAAGGTGACATGAAGATCTAAAGAGCTTGTACAATGGCCCCCAGGTAGTATCATGTCTCGGACTTTATGGGAAAGGTAAACTTTTGGTAGTACGACTGACAGCGGAAAGATCTAAAAGTATAATAACCTGCAAGAATAATTGGTCATGTCTAACAACAAGTGCCTGCGGGGCATTTAATATGGAGAAATCAACAAGACAACAGTCAGGCACATCTTCATGACAGAAATACACACCTGGGTTTCTTCATAAAATATTCTTAATGACAGTAATTAACATATTCCCAGAAACAATATACTTATAAATTGTAATAGTCTAAATGAGATATTATTCTATATAATAAAGAGAGGAAAATTATGAAGAGAGAAAAAAAAAACAACCAATGAAGAATCTGTCCATCTGTTGCTATGCCGGTGTAACAGATAATCATACTGTCTATTAGAAATTCATTGCAAATTTTCTACAAGTTAAAGATTTTTCAGTTTTTTGCTTATTATTGTAGGCAATTAGAATTCACCTTGATCAGCAAACAGCTGACAGGTTCTATATTAGCATATTTTATACAGTTTTATACAATATTCCTACAATAAAATATGATCTTATATGATCAATAGGTTTCATTATAATGTTGCTATCATAATTTATAAGCTTTTCCTAGAGAATGATAATAACTAATTTATCATCAGAATTTCAAAACTTGGGTTATTTTTGTTGTTGTTTCCATGAACCTGTAGAAGAGTTTACAATAAAAACAATATGTAATCCCTTTTGAGTAAATGCTACTTACGCTTTTTGGTAATTAATGATTTTGTTTGATTTTTTTTTTACCTGATAATTGCAAATATTGAAGAAGTGTTCTTATTTTCCTAACCCTAAACCGACTGGAACCAAAAGTGTTAAGCCTTTGCCGTGCAGTCTGAACATGCTCTACACTGTTGGCAGCGCAATTTTTAAAAAAAAAATTTTTTGATATTGAAATCCCTTGAACTTTGAATGGACTGTTCCAAATTAAAAGCTGGACAGATCCATGATAGAAATATAGCAGGTTAAGTGTTAAAAGAGAGGCAGAGTGATTAAATATTCTTTCTCAGCTAACACAATGCTATGAGATGACAGTCATGTCTTCTCCATCGAAAAAAAAAAAATAGAGACAAAAAAACAAAAGCGACATGAATGTTGGGAAACGTTCCAA